CAGTGTGGCCAAACATGTAAAATAGCCCTAGAGAATACCATTTTGCTCAAGAAGATCTTGGAGGAATATCTGGCTTATTCAAGCACTTTCTCTACTCCAAATCTCTTTGGTTGTAATTTTCCCATTTTTAATCAATCAATAATCACATTTCTGTGTTCTGGGGCTGAGACAGAGAAAGAAGAAAGTGAAAGGCATGGTCCATGCCCTTATAGAGCCTACATATAGCTAGGCCAAAACCAATGAGAAGCAAAACTGTGGGTGCCCTGAACTGTCCATACAGTGAGAATTAAGGAATGGTGTAGTCAGGGTGAGCTGAAGTGACCAGAGAGGTTTCCTGGGGACAAGACTTGAAGATGAGCTGGCTTTAGGCTAGTGCTGGGGGGTGAGCACTGACCTAGGCAGCAAAGCAAGGCACAGAGACAGAGATGAAATCTGAATGTTCAGGGCTCACCAGGGAGACTGGCTGGGGGCTTCCATGGGGAAGGAGAGGGAAGCCAGGCCCGTGAATAGGACAAGGCCGGGGAGAGAAGATCTTGAAAAATAGATGAAGGGCAGAGCGAGGAGTTTGAATTTGATGAGGCCTGCCATCTACTGGCAGCTGACACAAGCTCTTGGACAGTGGTGTGGCCAGGATCCCACTGAGGTGGGCAGGGGGAGCTAGAGACAAGGAGAATCCCTAGGGGCCCCCACCCCTGAAACAGAAGCCTGAGTGTCAAAGTGGCTGGAGGTGAGGGAGGAGAATCACCAAGAACAAAGATGGACAAATTGAAGAAACATAAATGAAGGTGGAGCTCAAAGACTAAATGCAGAGAATGGACACTAAGGCCAAGAGGCTTGGCTCCAGGACTTTCTGCCCAGGAGACCAGAATTTCCCTTTGTGGAGGCTGAGGACACATACAGATGCTCCTCATTACCATTAAGCCTCACACTGACACCAATAGATGGTTAGGAAGTGGCTTGCCAAGGTCCCTCCCAGGCTGTTTGGAAATCTCCAGGGAGTGTCTGTTTCTCCTCCCATTCTTCCTTCTCCTTCCCCACCCCCTGATCCACCCTTTCTCTTTCTCTCTCCTTCTACCCCTCCTCCTCCGATTTGAACTTTCTGGCTTCTCCAGGAAAAGCAGCCAGTTTCTTCCCACTGTGCCTTTCCCTTCCCCCCCAATTCTTGGAGGATAGACCCACCTCCTGGCTGACTTCAGGAAGATTCTAGAACACCTCAGCCTGCTGCTCCCACCAGCCTGGCTCCAGCTGCATCCCAGAAACCTGTCCAAAAAGAAGGATTCAGAGCACATGGGGAACTCCTCTTGCTCTCCAAACCCCCAAGCTGCTGCCAACCAGCTTGTGGAGAGAGGGGAAGAAGCGGCATTTAGGGCAGGAAGAATATCAGTCCGCTAGCATAATCGGCTTCTATTGCAAAGCGAGTGTGTATGCTCAGGCCTGTGGCCAGGTACAGGGTGCACAACCCTCTATCAGCCTTGCTGTGTCTCCTCAAGTGGGCAGGGCTGTCTCTTCTTACACACAGGAACTCATTTGACATGAGGAAAAGGTCATTCTAACCCCCCTAATTGGTCTCAATGGACTCTTGCTGCTGTAGATGGGAATTTGAAAGCCCAGATCAGCACAGACATCAGCCTCAACCCGTTGGCTGGGCCATGGTCAAGTAAATGAATAAACCCTGGTTCCTGGAAAAATCTAGATCTCAAGAATAATGGGGGCAGGGGAGGCAACTGTTTCTGCCTGTAGAAGGTAACTGACCAGCACAGGCTGAGATTTCTTTGTTTGTTTTGAAATGGAATCCCCCACTGTGGCCCCAGCTGGAGTGCAGCGGCGTGATCTCGGCTCACTGCAACATCTGCCTCCCTGGTTCAAGCGATTCTCCTGCCTCAGCTTCCCAAGTAGCTGGGACTACAGGTGCCCGCCACCACGTCCAGCTAATTTTTTGTATTTTTAGTTAAGATGGGGTTTCACTATGTTGGCCAGGCTGGTCTCAAACTCCTGACCTTGTGATCCATGCGCCTTGGCCTCCCAAGATGCTGGGATTACAGGTGTGAGCCACCACGCCTGGTGCTGGCTGAGATTTCTAAGCCCCATCCTTTGTGCAGCTAGCTCCCAGAAGAACTATTTTCTACTGCACATAGCACTCTGCACACTGGAGGCACTCCACAAACACTGTGCAAGGGGCTGTGGATTTTCCTGGAGAAGGCTCTAAACCACCAGTGGTCTTGGCTGCAAGGAAGCAGCCTCTCCCACTTGCAATTTTTCCAAGGCTATTTGGTTAAGCCAGCAGCCCCAGAACAGCCCACATCTGCAAGGCAGGTGATGTTTATGTCAAAACTTTCAAGTAGGTGTACATCCTTGAGGCTTCTTTCCAAAGTACAAGGGTTGGAGGATGTGACCAGTGTCTGGAATTTCACCAAAAGTACTGCTCTCCTTTGAGACTCCCTCCCCCACACACATACGCAACACACATAAACACAAAGTCATGTATGTACGTGTGTACACACATCAACATAGTCATGTGCACACATAATTACATACTTTCCTGTGTATTCAAATTGTTTTATTAATTGTAAAGGTGGCAGACTCTCTGTAATAGGCCAGATATTACAGAGATGATTTTTTTTAAGTAATAATTTCAACCCCTTAACACCCCAACCTTTTTGCCATCATAGACCAGTTATGTGGAAGCCAATTTTTCCACAGACAGGAGGAGGGGGTAGGTGGGGGATAGTTTCAGGAGAAACTGTCCCACCTCAGATCATCATTTGATTCTCAAAAGGAATGTGCAACCTAGCTCCGTCGCATGCGCAGTTCACAATAGGAGTCACACTCCTGTGAGAACCTAATGCTGCTGCTGATCTGACAGAAGGCGGAGCCAGGCAGTGATGCTCACTGGCCCGCTGCTCACCTCCTGCTGTGTGGTCCAGTTCCCAGCAGGCCAGAACCAGTACTGGTCCACGGTCCAGGGGTTGGGGAGCCTGCCTTAATGTAATCAGTGTTAGCAGTTTGCAGCATATCCTTCTGGATCTTTCTCTATACTAATGCAAACATATATAAACATTCATCAGAAAGTGTCAGATCTAAAAATAGAATAATTACTAAACTTGTTTTTCAGCAACTTGCATCTTTAACACTATATCTGGGACATTCCTTCAACTCGGTACATAACTCTTCTAATTGCCGAAGCACATAAGCACATTTACTTATGCTAACATAGACAACAGTGTATCCATGCGCACACACCCCACCTCATCCCACACCACACCATCCCCAAGGCTGTTGATATTGGCACTGCCCCTGCCCCTAGCTCCAACCTACAAAACATGAGGCTACTGCTGTATGGTTGCCCCTCACACCCCAATTCCAGACCCCACTGGTTTGACTCCCATAGGACAGTTAAGATGGTGCACTTGGCCCAGGCTGTGCTTTCGAGCAGGCTGCTCTTGTCATCTCCCCACCCCGACTCAGACCCTCAGTGGTGAAAAACATCACCTGGGAACCAGGACAAAGCTTGGGGCCAGGCAGACACACTTGGAGGCTGCTGTGGTGAGGAAGGGGAGGCAGGAAATTGATCAGCCCAGTAAGAGGCAGGGAGTGTCCTGGAACAGCAACAGACCCCCAAGCCAGGGCACCAGCAGCCTACGCGCCAGCCCCACCCTAACATTAACTCACTGTGTGACCTCAGGCAAGCCTTTCCCTCTCTGAACCTCCTTTCCTCTTCCATAAGATGAGCATGTTTGCAGTGATGTTCCTAAGGCCCTTCCAGCACACAGTGTTCTGTAGTGAGTCCTGCTTCTCCCTCAGTGCTGGGAGCTCGCTCTCACACCGCTGCTCCCATGGGACTCTGCTCCCTGCACTCTCAGGGCAAGGGCAACTGCGGGGGAGCTGGTGAGGCAGGGCAGAAGCTGAGCCTGACCAGAGAGGCAGGCAGGAGGCTACCCTGGAGGCCAGATCCAGGTGAGGGTTTCCTTGGCCTGGCAAAGCTTCACCTCCTTCTAAGGCAGGCAGTGCTTTTGCTGTCCTTTGGAACCATGTTGCTGCTCAGTAACTACACCTGGGACCAACGAGCGCTTTTTCTTCTTAATTAAAAAAAAGTTTTATTTCAGCAGGCCCTGGGCACTTCCTGTCTTGCTAAGTGAGTACCTGTCTGATCTTTCTGGTTGAACTGGGTCCCTTAGCGCAGCATGTGCTATTTACTTATTTCTGTATCCCCAGGATCTAAGTAACACCTGAAATAGACTAAATGTCCACTAAATATTTCAATGCCTCTCTCATTGATTCTGATTATGCATGTGATAACCTCATATTGTTTTTAAAAATACCCAAAGTAGATATAAATGATTAAACTTAGTAAGTGGAAAGTTTTCCAAAATTCTCCATAAATAATCATTATGAACACTTTAGTGACATGCTCCTGTACTAGTGCTTCCTAATCTTACACTGTTGACATTTTTGGACCAGATAATTATCTGTTGTAGAATGACTGGCCTCTGTAGCACTCCCCCAGCTGTGACAGCCAAAAATACTTGTAGACATTGACAAATGTCCCCCAGAGGACAAAATTGTATCCTGCCACTCCTTCCTACTTCCCTGTGCCCCACCCTGTTGAGGAGCGCTGCTCTATATACATCCACAGAGTGAAAGTGAAGTTGAAAACAAGTAAACAAGGGCAAGAAAGAGGAGATCGTGATACATAGATGCAGGTATCAACAACTGTTTATAATTGGTTAAATGTAAATTAAGATGCCTGTTCCCTGATTTCCAGTCTTGTGTGAGCTTTGTTCACTTATTCAATCTTTATTTCATTCCCCCAAAATTTATTAAATACCTATGATGTGCTAGGAACTGTGCTCATAGATATATTTTCAACAAACTAATTGTAACTAAATATCTATTTCAGCCCCTGAAAATGAAGGTAGGGAGTGACAACAAATCCCCAGGTTCTAACTGGTTACACCTCAGTCTCTTACAAGCACATCCCTCTTAACTCTGACCAGCTCCCATACACCTCCATCTGCCATACTGATCTGCCATAGTGGGCCAAGAAGAGAGAAAGAGGAAGAAAAGGAGAGAGAAAAAGGAAAATGTGTTGCTTACTGCCCCTGCCTTTATTGAGATGGACAGCTGGAGTAAACACCATCCAGAAAGACTGGGACTCTGGGTCCTCTCAAACCCAGCACACCAGCACCATGAATACCAGCCCCCAGCAAGAAATCTCTAAGCACTTTGTAAGTATTCATCGCCTAAACATATTTAATTCCCAGTCTTGCCCAACTCATTTCAGTCTTAACTGTTTAACTAGGCTGGTCTCTGAGCAGACTCTGTGGCTGCCCTGAAATCAGGTTACTGGCACAGCCTGTAGATATTGACTGATTCAAAGATTACAGTTGAGCAAACAGGGGTATGTTAATTTTTAATTTCACTTTGTTGATAAGTCGGGCTTCCTCTTTGTCCTATAACCAATAATAACCTGGTCAGGAGAAACATGCAATCCTTGCCCTGCAATGAAAGTCCACTTGTCTGGCCTTCCTGGCCCTAGCTGGGTTTTTCAAAGGAGCTCCCATATTGGTTTGGCCTCAGTCAATTGTTAAAGAATTGAGGGACTCCTGAGTTGCACAACCCTGGATCAATGTGAGACCCAAGCTGAACAGCATGGTACTCTTAAGAATTAAAGCGGAGACCCAGAGAAGATCTTTGAGGTTTGGGCTTTGGGGTAGGAATCGGGTTTTTCTTCTAACAAAGAAGAGACTGACAGAGAAAGTGTTTCTTTCATGGCTTCCAGCTCACGATAAGTCATCCTCATTCTGGAACCAAGGTTGTTCTCAAAGATGACTTTACCACAGTGCAACATGAGGACAGAAAACAGGAGCCATGTATCTACCTCATCACATAAGAGCCCTCTGTTTGCTAAGTCTCTTAGTTCATACAACCACAGTACCATCCTGGGAAATAATTGCCAGTACTCCCATTGTATAAAGAAGGAAAGGATAATTGACCTGCCCAGATTTGCATTTTATATCTCTAAAGGGTGCAGTCACTAAATACAGTAATCTGTCACATTTTTTTTCTCTTCCTTTTTTTTTTTTTTTCTGTTGCTTTTAGGGGCCAAAGTGGCTTCAGTTTGAAACCATGATGAATTTAATATAAATCAAGAAAAGCAACAGAAGCAATTTTTCCCATCTGGAATGGAGTATATTCTTCTGTTTTTATGCTATTTGTCTACCCTGTCACTAACTGCAGAGAAAACATTCTAAAAACTGCCCTTTGTGGCCTCAAGCCATTTCTCTGGAGCTCTTTGACTTAAAAAAAAAAAAATGATCCAGAGAAATAAAAAATGTGGTCAGAGCCTGAGTGACATTTAAGTCAAAGACTTACTGAGCAGGGAATCATTTAGTGGGTTATTTTAAATAATTCAATCCAGAAAAATACTGGTTGAATATATATATATGTATATGTGTGTGTGTATATATATATATATATATATATATATGTCTTAATCAACTTCATTCACAGATGTTGGTAAGTGACTAAAAAAAGGAAGGGAAACTGTTCAATGCTTAAAGATGAATGTACCAAATTATACAAGCCCCACAGAATTTGAGAACTGGAAGGGGACTAAGAAATCAGTTAGTCTAGTAAGTCAGGGCTTGCAATCTTTCTCTGGGGAGGTACTTCTGAGTTCCCTTACATTTTATGATCATCAGAGACACAATTCTTCATACAGCTAGAGAGGAGAAGGTGGGGTTTTACTGAGCATATAATGTTATCATCCTTCCACTTTGAGGATTCCCAAGTCTTCTCATTGCCTAGGGGAGTATTTCTGTGGGACATTAGTACTGTGGATTCTTCTCTACAAAGGTTTCCAGGGTCACACCTGTTTAGGAAATGCTGTGCACTACATCCAACTTTGGACATTTGCAAAGTACACCTGCATAATAAATGCTGTTGCACTGAGTGAGAAGTCCCAGAATTTTAAAAACCTCATTAATTTTGCTTAAGCCAAGCCTCCAAGCTTATTTTTATGATCATATCATGTAGGATATAGCTGCAAGTGACAGAAACCCTGACTCAAAACTGGGATAAACAATAAGGACTGTTTGTGATGCTTACAAACCAGATGTTCAGAGAGGTAGGACAAGCTTGGGAGATTTGCGTCCACATTTTTCTACTCTAGCACCTTCATCTTCAGGCCAGTCATGGATAACAGTTACAAGCATCACACTCAGGCCTGACAGAGGAAACAGAAGGATTGTTTCTTCATGTGGCCTCTCTTAGGAGAGAAGAAAGTTTCTCACAAGCTCCCTGGTGTCTACTCAAGTCTCACTGGCCAGATCAGGTCACATATCCACTCCTGAACCAATCACTGACCAAAAAAAAAAAAATAGCATTTTCCTCTGACCAATCCCTCTTAAGCTGGAGGTGGGCCAGCTTCCCTAAAGCATGAGGCTGCATGGAGGAGGCATGGATTCCTGAAAAACACTGGAGGTCTGTAAGGAAGGCAAAGAGGAGAATGGGTAAGCAGCCAGCATTGTTCGCTGAGACTGGAGATGCCTTTTTACACCTAACATGCTGTGGTGGTTAATTTTATGTGCCAACCTGACTGGGCCACAGGGTTCCCAGACATTTGGTCAAATGTTATTCTGGGCGTGTCTGTGAGAGTGTTTTGGGATGAGGTTGATATTTGAAGTGGTGGGCTAAGTGAAGCAGACAGCCCTCCCTAATGTGGGTGGGCCTTATCCAATCAATTGAAGACCTGAATAGAACAAAAAGGTTAAGTAAAAGGTAATTCCTCGCACCTGACTGCTGGAACTGAGATATTGGTCTTTTCTAACCTTCAGTTTTGTACCAAAACATCAGGTCTTCTTGGGTTTCAAGACTGCTGACTTTTGGACTGGAACTTATACTATCAGCTCTCATGGTTCTCAGGCCTTTTGACTCAGACTGCAACTGGACATTGGCTCTTCTGGGTCTCCAGTTTACAGACTGCAGATCTTGGACTTTTCAACCTGTAATTCTTCAAGATGAGTAAACAAGTAAGTACATAAATAAATAACATTGATTCTGTTCTCTGGAGAAGAGAGCCAGTAGTCTGTTTCTCAATATACAACTATGTTAAGGTTCCTCAGAACTTAAGTTCCTCCAAACACTTTGAAAATGCTATAAAGCTTTCTTAGGTAGAGTCCAAATTTTCTAATATAGCATGCAAAGCCCATTATGGCTTGATTCCCTACTTTTTTCTAGTCTGGTGTACTGTTCCACCAAACAAAATGTTATTTCAGACTCTTGTGCTTTGGCACATACTAGTCTCTCTGCTAGTTGCCCCTTTCGCATCTATCAAATCTAAAAACCTGGGAAAGTTACCTAAGCTCTGTGCCTCAGTTCCCTTTCCAGAAAGTGGAGCTCATAGAAATAACTACCTCATTGGTCATTATGAGGATTAAATGAGCCAGTATCTGCATGAACTTTGAACAGTTCCTGGCACATAGTAAGTGCTCAATACACGTCAGGGATCATTCTGTAATCCCACTGCACTTTGTGCATTCCTCAATGAAAACACACTCCATGCAGTAATAAATTATTTTCTTGTATATACATCTCTCCAACTAAATCACAGAGTCTTCAAAGACAGGAATATCATATTGTTTCTTTTTGATTCTCTCAGATTTAACACAATATGTGGTTCTTGGCTATGATCAACAAGTGCTTAGTGAATGAATAGCTGGATGATCTTCACACCTAAAGAAACTGAAATTCCAACAAGGTAAAATAAGTTGCACGTCACACAGACAGACAAGAAGTGCCAGTACTTGAAATCCGGGTCTCCCAGTTTCTGAAACCAGGAACTCCATCTAGCACCTAATGATTGCTTCCCACTAGGTGACAGCATTCCTGTAATTCAATTCAACAAGTCTTTCTTGAGAACTTACTATGCACCAGACACTCCACTGGGGACTGGGGATGATGAAAACTCAATCCCTACCCTTGAGGCCTCAGGCAGCCATCATCTGAATCCAACCCTCTGGCTGGCCTCCCTGCCTCCAGACCACTACCCCTGCCACCCAGTCTTCAAGGCATCATCAGAATTATTGCTTGGGTTTACATGCTCCGAAAGCCATAGCCTCTGGGAATAATGCCCACATTTCTGGTCTGCCACCACCATAACTCATCCATAATCTAACTTCATTATATTAGTCCATTCTCATGCTGCTATAAGGACATACCCAAGACTGGGTAATTTATAAAGGAAAGAGTTTTAATTGATTTAGAGTTCTGCAGGGCTGGGGTTGGGCCTCAGGAAACTTACAATCATGGTGGAAAAGGAAGCAAACACATCCTTCTCCACCTGATGGCTACAAGAAGTGCAGAGTGAAGTGGAGGAAAACTCCTTATAAAACCATCAGATCTCGTGAGAACTCACTCGCTATCATGAGAACAGAATGGAGGTAACTGCCCCCATGATTCAACTGCTTCCCACCAGATCCCTCCCACGACACACGGGGATTATGGGAACTATAGTTCAAGATGAGATTTGAGTGGGCACATAGCCAAACCATATCATTCCTCCTCTGGCCTCTCTCAAATCTCATGTCCTCACATTTCAAAACACAATCATGGCTTCCCAACAGTTCCCCAAATTCTTAAGTCATTTCAGCATTAACTCAAAAGTCCAAGTCCAAAGTCTCATCTGAGACAAGGCAAGTCCCTTCTGCCAACGAGCTTGCAAAATCAAAAGCAAGTTAGTTACTTTCTAGGTACAATGAGAGTACAGGTATTGGGTAAATACACGCATTCCAAATGGGAGAAATTGGCCAAAATGAAGGGACTATAGGCACTATACAAGTCCAAAACCCAGTGGAGCAGTCATATCTTAAAGCTCCAAAATGATCTCCTTTGACTCCATTTCTCACATCCACGTCTTGCTGATGCAAGCGGTGGGCTCCCACGGCCTTAGGCATCTCTGCCCCTGTGGCTTTTCAGGGTACTTAGGAAACTTACAATCATGGTGGGAGAAGCCAGCTCCCTCTCCTGGCTGCTTTTATGGCTGGTGTTGAGTGTCTACAGCTTTTCTGGGTGCACAGTGCAAGCTGTCAGTGGATCTACCATTCTGGGGTCTGGAGGACGGTCTCTTCTCACAGCTCCCCTAGGTAGTGCCCCACTGGGGACTCTGTGTGGGGGCTCTGATCCCACATTTCCCTTTTGCACTGTTCTAGCAGTGGTTCTCCATTAGGGCTCCACCCCTGAAGCACACCTCTGCCTGGACATCCAGGTATCTTCATACATCTTCTGAAATCTAGGTAGAGGTTCCCAAACCTCCGTTCTTGACTTCTGTGCACCCACAGGCCCAACACCATGTGGCAGCTGCCAAGTCTTAGGGTTTACACCCTCTCAAGCAATGGCCTCAGCTTTATGTTGGCCCCTTTTAGCCACACTAGACACAGGACACCAAGTCCCAAGACTGCATAAAGCAGCAAAGCCCTGGGACTGGCCCAAGAAACCATTTTTTCCTCCAGGCCTGTGATCAGAGGGGTTGACATAAAGATCTCTGACATTGCCCTAGGGACATTTTCTCCATTGTCTTGGTGATTAACATTTGGTTCCTCATTACTTATGCAAATTTCTACAGCAAGCTTGAATTTCTCCCCAGAAAATGGATTTTTCTTTTCTACTGCATCATTGGCTGTAAATTTTCCACTTTTATGCTCTGTCACCTCTTGAATGCTTTGCTGATTAGAATTTTTTTTCTGCCAGATACCCTAACTCATCTCTCTCAAGTTCAAAGTTCCAAAGGGGGAAAGTTTTGGGCAGGGGGAAAATTCCACCAGTCTCTTTGCACAGCAAGAATGACCTTTACATCAGTTCCCAACAAGTTCCTTATCTCCATGTGAGACCACCTCAGCCTGGACTTTATTGTCCATATCACTATCAGCATTTTGATTAAAGCCATTCAACAAATCTCTAAGAAATTCCAAACTTTACCACATCTTCTTGTCTTCTGAGCCCCTTCAAATCTCTAAGAAGTTCCAAACTTTCCTACATTTTCCTATCTTCTTCTGAGGCCTCCAAACTATTCCAGCCTCTGCACACAGATCAAAAGTTACTTTCACATTTTCAGGTATCTTTATTGCAGCACCCCACTACCTGGTACCAATTTACTGTATTAGTCTGTTCTCATGCTTCTATAAAAACATATGCAAGACTGGGTAATTTTTAAAGAAAAGAGGTTGAATTGACTCAGTTCTGCAGGGCTGGGGAGCCTCAGGAAACTTACAATCATGGCAGAAAAAGAAACAAATGTATCCTTCATATGGCAGCAGAAAGGAGAAGGGCAGAGCAAAAAGGATTTTTCTGGATAGGAAAGTACAGGAGCACAGGCTCCTTTTGTGTGGAAGTGAGAGGAAACTTACAGGGGTATCCTGGGGTAGCCAGGACCATGGAATAATTGCCAGAAAATTACTTTAATGTCTTCAGAGTGGGAGTTACTGTGATGGAAAAGGATGTCTGGCTTTGTGACTTGGGCTTCACACAAAGCCTAAGGATGGTTGTGGGAGCCACAAGCATCAAGCTCTGGGCACATGGCACAGCGTACAGGTGTGATTAGAGGAGCTGAAACCTGCAAACTGGGTCAGTAGCCGGGCCAGGGCCATAACCACAGGGCAGACAAATGTCCTAAGCTAGCAAAGGCAGGACTTCAACAGCATGAGGCAGCAAGAAGCAATGGCAGTAGTGACCAATTAGACTTTTTGTTTGTCGTTTCATTTGACAAAAAGAAGTGTCTGGGATTCTTGTACAATTTTGAGAGCATAGAAAGAGGGAAACATAGTTTTAATGAGAACATATAGGATCTCCTGCCTTCCTACAGAAGTACTTGCAAGTTGACTGAGCATGGTGGCTCACACCTGTAATCCCAGCACTTTGGGAGGCTAAGGCAGGAGGATAACATGAGCCCAAGAGTTTGAGACAAGCCTGGGCAACCCAGTAAGACACCATCACTACTGAAAAAGAAAAAAAAAAAGCCGGGCATGGTGGCACATGCCTGTAGTCCCAGCTATTCAAGAGGCTCAGGCAGTAGGATTGCTTGAGCCCAGGTGTTGGAGGCTGCAGTGAGCTATAATTATGGCACTGTGTTCCAGGCTGCGCAACAGGGCAAGACCCTATCTCAAAAAACAAAGAAGTACTTGCAAGTGATAAAGCTGAAAGTATCTTAGCTGAGACATACACACTAAAGATTGGGTTGGATTTCTGAAAAGTATGTAACCTGATATAGTCATCAAAAAATTAATTCAATTCCACAAATGTTTATCCAGCAACTGCTCTATGACCTGGTAAGTAGTCAAGTTCAATTAACATTTTAGATCTTTCCTGTTTTTGCTGAGACTAACAATAATCTTAATATACAATTGTTTTATAAACATAAATTCCTCATTGAGTGGAGAAGTAAAAGAAAAAAGTATAGGAGTAAGTGGGTATCTGCATGTAGAAAAGATAAAAGATATCTTAAAAGATATTTTAAGTTAAGTGAGAAGGGGAGATACTGAACATCAGTAAAATAGTCCCCTGGCTTAAGATGGCCTTGGTGGAGGATATACTACAGGTTTCCAAGTGAGTTAGTAATCCAGCAGAAGGAACCAATAGCACTTAGTGACTGCAGAAAACCTAGACTTGAGGTCCGGCCAGAGAGGATTCAGTTTCACTGGCCATATTGGGAAATGAGTGGAATACATACAGCCGGGCCAAGCTAGACTTTGGAGCATGCCTACAAATTGCCTTTCTGCACGACACATATACCCTGAAATTCCTCACAGGGTTGTAAAATTTGGCTCTGGGTCATATGCTTTAGATGATTCACTGCAAAATAAGTTTAAGGGGGATGGAAAAACAAGGAGCCATGTCTTAGTTCTCAGGTCACAGACTAAAGAAGGAAAAGGCCTACGTTCCTTCAGTGGCTGGAAATGGGACTGACCAATGGTGAAAGAGGTAGCCTCCCATTAGAGGGTGTCCTAGTTAACATTATCATCAAAGAACTGACCCAGAGCTAACATCAGAATCCTATGTCTAGCAGAGGGAACACAAGGTCTTTTATAAGGAGCTAGTTGGGAGGGGAAGGTAAGTCACACTGCCCACCTTGGTGGGCTCCCAGCCAGCAGGGGAGGGCTGCAGCCTGGCTCTCCTCTTAGTGGGAGGTCCTTCCAATTCCCTCCTGAGCCTGAGTTGGCTGGCATCTGTGGGCTGAGAGCAAGACCTTTGAAGCAATGCACAGTTCTGAAATCTTAGCTTGCTGTCAAGACGGTCCCTGCAAAGGACACCTGAAGCAAGGACTGGCCAAGGGTGTGTTGACGTCAAGCTTCCACAGGGCCCAGACAATGAGGGCCCATAGACATCATCTGGGGAGTCAGGGTGGTCTGGCTTTCCAAGGCATTCATGGAATTAAAAGAGAAATGTCTTGGGAGTGATTGGTGGATGGTTCTAAGGATAAGAGGTGAGCATTAGGAGAAGGAGAAGGGTTAAGAAGTAATAATTATTGAATGTCTACAATGCAGTATTTTAAATACACATTATCTCTCTTAATCCTGACAAAATTCTATAAAGGGAAACGTGACCTTTCTGCATTTGACAAATAAGGAAGCAGGTTCAGAGACAGTGAGCTGCCCACACATGCTAGCCAGTGGCAGGGTCAGGATGCAAAGCCGTCTCTTGCTTTCAGCACAGCCCATGTTTTTCCCAATTAGACTGAAAATCTAATTCAACAACAACAACAAAAAGATATTAAATACCTGCTATGACCACAGTATAGATCTGGGCCCCGTGGGCACACATGAATATGTTCCTGCCTCACAGGCTAAAGGGAGAAGCAAGTCCTATAATTATAGTGGCTGTAAACTACTAGCAGTTAAAATAATCAATATTAACAACTCTTCAACTTCCTTTCACACCCCTCTCCCCTCGGTCACTAGTCTGACTAGACTGGCCTTTTGTTTGTTTGTTTGTTTGTTTTTGAGACAGGGTCTTGCTGTGTTACCCAAGCTGGTCTCAAACTCCTGGGCTCAAGCAATCCTCCTGCCTCAGCCTTTTGAGTAGCTGAGATTACAGGCGTGAACCACCACACCCAGCTACACTGACCTTTTTACAGCTCCACACAAGTCTTGCTCATTCCTGCCTCGGATTCTCTGCCTCAGCTCCTCCCTCTACCTACTCTGGCCTTCCCAGCTTCATGTCAGCATCTGAGTCCTTTCCTAGCCTCCCTTACCCGCTAAGGGTATACCCCTCAGCCTTTTCCCTTTCCTGGCTTTATTTTCTTCATAACACTTAACAGCAAGCTTTGATGTCGAATTGTCTAAATTAGATCTAAATTGATCTAAAGCCTGGTTTCAACATTTTCTAGCTGTGTGATCTAGGACAAATTACTAACTCCCTGAGCTTCCGCTTCCTATTTGTAAGCAGGTAATAATTGTATGTAGCTCAGGGGATTTTTGTGAGGACAAAAATAGAATAATTCATGAAAATAGAGCAGTGACTGGCACACAGAAAATGTTTAATACATACTACCTATTGTTGTTATGATTTGTTTGTTGTGTTTCCTCCTTACTCAAATGTAAGTTCCATGAAGGCAGAGACTTTGTTCATCATGAGATCTTCAGGACCTGGCATGTAGTAGGCCTACAATAAAGGTTTATGAATAGCTAACTTTCTGTGTCCCAGGAATGCCTTATTTCATTTAGGTCTCACAATAATCCCATGAGGCCAAAACCATTGTCATCCTCATTCTACAGATGACATTCAGAGAGGCGACATACATGTCTTAAGACCAGAAAGCCAAAAAATAGAGATCCAGGCTGCAAACCAAGTAGCTCCAAAGACAGCGCAATTACCTGCTCTGCTACACCACACAGCTCACAGTGGAATACTTTGGAAGCATCCACTGAACACAAGAGAGAACCAAATACTATGGCACTGGATCCGAGAGCGCTGCTCTGCTGTGGTCACTCAGAGCTCTCTGTACAGCTCAACCATTTCTTGATACTGGTGCCCAGCCTGCAAAACACCCTTCAGTGAGGGACAATCTGGAATGGTGCCTTTCCCACACATTAACACCTCCTGCAGCCAAGCTTGTTATCTTCAGAGAGGAGAGCCTCTGCAGAGTCCCACTACACCAAGTGTCATAGATGCCATTCCAAGGGTTACTATGGAGAGCCAGACTCTGCCCATGGGATAATCAGAAATGAAGGTGACAGACATCAGTTTAGACCCTAGTCACAAGGTACAGATGCAGGACTGTAGCTTGTTCACTTGATCCCCCAAGACTGGCACTGTGCTAGGAACATGTAGAGGCTCCGCAGATGCTTGCTGAATGAGTCAAAGAATTGCTGAGTTGGAAGACTAGGGTTTGTTTGTTAATATGTGACTTAGGCAAGTCATTTCTCCTCTTTGAACCTCAATTGCCCAATTATAAAATTGGAAAGTTGGACCATGTAAGTTATTCTATGATACTAGAGGTTCCTCAAGAAATATTTTTCACGAAAAAATGAAAATTCTAACTTCCTGGGAATCCATTCATCTTTGTTATTTGGGTATAAATTCGGATGCTGTGTAAATTTGAGAAAAGTGGGGGAGCTCTCTTAAAATCATTGTGAACTTCTGAACCAAACGATCAGTCGTGTTCCATGAAGCTCTGATTTTTTTTTCCAGTTTAATTTCCTGGTTATTCATAGCCTATTCCAAAGGGATAATGAAGTCAAACTGAAAAAAGTGAATTTAATTTCCACTTAGCTCCATCTCCAGGAAAAATTGTAATTCAGTTTGAATCCAAAGACCTGAGAATCAGAGACGAAGAGGGGAAAGTGTAAATCCTAGTCTTAGTCTGAAAGCAGAGACCCAAGAGCTCTAATGTCCAAGGGCAGGAGAAATGTACATTTCTGCATAGAAGGGAAAGCAAATTTGCCCTTATTCCACCTTTTTGTTCCATTCAAGTCCTCAGTGGGTTGGATGATGCCCACCTGTCACCAGTAGAGGGTTGTGACTGCAAGTTGTTCAGGTTCTTGGTGTTTTCAACAAAGAATTGAACAAAACACCCAGCAAAGCAAAGCAAAGAAAGAATGAAGCAACAGAAGAATCAAAGCATGGATTTATTGAAAGCAAAAGTACACTCCACAGTTTGGGAATGGACCCCAGCGGCGGCTCAAGGGCCTGGATACAGAATCTTCTTGGGTTCAAATGGCCTCTAGAAATTTCCCATTGGCCACTTGATGCTCGCCTTCTGTAACTGAAGTGGTAGCCCACAATCAGTCTGATTGGTTGTGAACAGCAACCATTCAGAGGCTGGAGTGAAGTTACAAAGTTGCAAACAAAGACTCCACACCCACTCAGTATGATTTGTTGCAGACAGCCAATCTCCCAGCTGCCAGACAGAAAAGGTCAAAGGGAGTCCTTTTGTTATTTAGGCTATTCTCCTGCCTCACACCCACATTGGTGAGAGCCATTTGCTTTGCGCAGTTTACCAGTTCACATGCTATTATTTTCTGGAAGAGAATAGCATTTGAAACACCTGGAAATAATATCTGGAAATGATATCTACTTGATATCTAGGCATCCCTTAGCCCAGTGAAACTGACACATAAAATTGAACCATCATATCCCCTCAGAACCTATTAATGTCAACTAATCTGTTAGACTAACAGACTAACAGAGTCATGCTAATGTCTTATAGGTAAGAATCAGTCATCTGCTAAGTCCCCTGGTAACCAAGGCCCAGAGCAGGAGGTGATTTGCCCGTGGCCACTTCACAATTTGGCAACAGAGCCAGAATCTAAATCCAGGATTCCCTGTTCCCAGGCTCCTTCCACTAGACCAGCAGTTCTCACCCCTTGCTATACATGAAGATTGCCTGGGGGGGTTTCATAAAGTACTATATGTGGGCCTCACATCCCCAGAGAGGATTCAATTTGTCTAGAGTGGGATCCAGACATCACTAATTTTTTAAAAGATTTTTATCAAAGTATGCTATGGTCTGAATATGTTCCCATAAAATTCATATGTTGAAATATAATCACTAATGTGATAGTATTAAGAAGTGGAGCCTTCAGAAGACGATTAAATCATGGGGGCAGAGCCCTCATGAAAGGGATAAGTGACTGCTATAGTTTGGATGTTTATCCCCCAAAATCTAATGTTGAAACTTGATCCCCAATGTTGGAGGTGGGGCTTAATGGGTGGTGTTGAGGTCGTGGGGTTAGATCCTTCATGAATGGCTTGGTGCCATCCTCATGGTAACCCACAAGAGTTGATGGTGAAAAAGAGCCTGGCCCCTCCCCCTCTCTTGTTTCCTCTCTCACCATGTGATCTCTGCACACACTGGGTCCCCTTTGCCTTCCCTCATGAGTGGAAATAACCTGAGGCCTCACGAGATGCAGATGCTGGTGCCATGCTTCTTGTACAGCCTGTAGAACTGTGAGCCAAATAAACTTACTTTCTTTACAAATTACCCAGATTAAGCAACAGTAAATGGACTAAACACTAACCCTATAAAAGAGGCCTGGGGGAGCTCTTTGCCGCTTTCTCCCTGTAAAGACACAGAAAAGACATTTATGAGGAACAGGTCCTCACCAATACTGAATCTGCTGGCACCCTGATCTTAGACTTGTCAGCCCCCAGACTGTAAGAAATAAATTTCTATTATTGAAAAATTACCCTGTCTAAGTAGTTTTTTATAGCAGCCCAGACTAAGATAAAGCATAACATAGGTACAGAAAAGTGAATTATAAATGTACACATTAGAGAGAAGAGGATCCAAGATGGCCGTTTAGGAACAGCTCAGGATTGCAGCTCCCAGTGAAAGCGCAGAGGGTGAGTGGATGCCGCATTTTTATTGCCCACAGACTAGGCAATTCCCAGGTGTAGGAGCTCCACAGGTTGCCAGCGCAGCTGTTTCAGCCAGCGCAGCTGTGCTGGCCGGCGCCGCTGCTTTGCCCCGCGTGGCTGTTTTGTCGGCGCCTGGGAGCAGCGGTTCTCCATACAAAATACACCAGCCCGGTTGCGCTTTTGGCTGGTGATTGGAGCCACGGGAACTCCCCCATTTGTCTGTTTAAAAAGGGGACTGAGCAGGGAGCCAGGACAGTAGATTCCAGGACAAAAAAAGCACCACGAATCTCAGTGCCGCTGTTTAAGCCAGCACAGTGAGTTGTTGCACGGGAAAAAACACACACCGCGGTGCCTCTTCAACAGGCGACTGGAACACCAAATTAAAAAAAAAAAAAAATAGGCTCTGAGGCAGGGAGCCAGACGATCAGGCTCGGCTGGTCCCACCCCCACAAAAGAACAGCAATCAGAAACTCTCTGGATTGAGAGTTTTACAGCAAGCGCAGCTGAACCGGGCGGTCCAGCTCTGTGGGGCGGGGCATCTGCCATTACCGAGGCAGCCTGCCACAAGGGAGGTAGTCAGCCAATGCTGAGGCAGCCCGCTGTTGCCAAGGCAACACGCCATTGCCAAGGCAACCCGCCACTGCTGAGAGGCTCCGCCTTAACAGAGGCGGGCCACCATTGCCAAGGCAGTTCTAACTACACCCATATAAACAGGACTGCAGGGAAGTTCACTCGGCAGCTGGGCGGAGCCCACAGCAGCTCAGCAAAGCCTCTACAGGCAGACAGTGACTAGACTGCCTCCTTGCTGGACAGGGCAGCTCTGAAGGAAAAAAAAAAAGAAAAGGCAGCAGCATAACCGAAACTCATAAAGCCCTAAATCCCTGGGACAGAGCACATGGGAACAAAAAGTAGTTTATGAGTTCTGCTGCAGCAGACCTAAACATACCTGCCCAGCAGCTCTGAATGAACAACAGAGCTCACAGCTCAGCATTTGAGCTCCTATAAAGAAGAGACCGTCTCCTCAAGCAGCTCCCTGACCCCTATATATCCAAAGAGCCACGCCATAAAGGAGAGATCAGATTGACACTAGGCGGGTATCCTTCTGGGACAAAGATAGCAGAAGAAGAAAACTGGTAACAACCCTTACTGTTCAGCAGCTGCTGCAGGTGAACCCCAGGCAAGCAGGGCCTGGAGTGGACCTCAACAGACCTACACCAGAGGGGCCAGACTGTCAGAAGGAAAACCAAGAAACAGAAATAACCTCATCATCAACAAACAGAACGTCAATCTGAAAGATTTGAGACCCAATCTGAAAGCCAGCAACTACAAAGTCGACAGGTGGATAAATCCTTAAAGATGAGAATAAACCAGCGCAAAAAGGATGAAAACACCCAAAACCAGAACACCTCTCCTCCTACAAGGGATCGCAACTCCTCACCAGTAAGGGAACAAGGTTAGATGGAGAACGAGTGTGATGAAATGACAGAATCAGACTTCAGAAGGTGGGTAGTAAGAAACTTCTGTGAACTTAAAGAACATGTTCTAACAAAATGCAAAGAAACTAAAAACCTTGAGAAAAGATTTGACGAAATGCTAACGAGAATGGACAAAATAGAAAGGAATATAAGTGAATTGATGGAGCTGAAAAACGCAACACAAGAACTTCGCAAAGCATGCACAAGTATCAACAGCCGAATTGACCAAGCAGAAGAAAGGATATCAGAGGTTGAAGATCAACTCAATGAAATAAAATGGGAAGGCAAGAATGGAGAAAAAAGGGTAAAAAGGAATGAACAAAGTCTCCAAGAAATGTGGGACTATGTGAAAAGACCTAATCTACGTTTGATAGGTGTAGCTGAATGCGACGAAGAGAATGAATCCAAGCTGGAAAATACTCATCAGGATATTATCCAGGAAAACTTCCCCAGCCTAGCAAGGCAGGCAAACATTCAAGTCCAGGAAATACAGCGAACACCACAAAGATATTCGTCAAGAAGAGCAACCCCAAGGCACATAATCGTCAGATTCACCAGGGTCGAAATGAAGGAGAAAATACTAAGGGCAGCTAGAGAGAAAGGTCGGGTTACCCACAAAGGGAAGCCCATCAGACTCACAGCAGATCTCTCAGCAGAAACCCTACAAGCCAGAAGAGAGTGGGGGCCAATATTGAACATCCTTAAAGAAAAGAACTTTCAACCCAGAATCTCCTATCCAGCCAAACTAAGCTTCATAAGTGAAGGAAAAATAAAATCCTTTGTGAACATGCAAGTACTCAGAGATTTTGTCACCACCAGGCCAGCTTTACAAGAGCTCCTGAAAGAGGCTCTACACATATAAAGGAACAACAAGTACCAGCCACTCCAAAAACATGCCAAAAGGTAAAGAGAATCAACACAATGATGAATCTGCATCAACCAAAGGACAAAACACCCAGCTAGCACCAAAAGGGCAGTATCAAATTCACACATAACAATATTAACCCTAAATGTAAATGGACTAAATGCCCCAATCAAAAGACACAGGCTAGCAAATTGGATTAAAAGCCAAAACCCATCGGTGTGCTGTATCCAGGAAACCCATCTCACATGCAAGGATACACAAAGGCTCAAAATAAAGGGATGGAGGAAGATTTACCAAGCAAATGGAGAGCAAAAAAAAACCAGGAGTTGCAATTCTCATCTCTGATAACTTAGACTTTAAAGCAACAAAGATCAAAAGAGACAAAGAGGGACATTACATAATGGTAAAAGGATCAATGCAACAAGAAGAGCTAATGATCCTAAATATATACGCACCTAATACAGGAGCACCCAGATACATAAGGCAAGTTCTTAATGACTTACAAAGAGACTTAGACTCCCACACAATAATAGTGGGAGACTTTAACACCCCACTGTCAATATTAGACAGATCAACCAGACAGAAAATTAACAAGGATATCCAGGACTTGAACTCAGACCTGGACCAAGCAAACCTAATAGACATTTACAGAACTCTCCACCCCAAAGCCACAGAATATACATTCTTCTCAGCACCACATCACACCTACTCTAAAATTGACCACATAATTGGGGGTAAATCACTCCTCAGCAAATGCAAAAGAATGGAAATCATAACAAACAGTCTCTCAGACCACAGTGCAATTAAGTTAGAACTCAGGATTCAAAAACTAACCCAGAACTGCACAGCTTCATGGAAACTGAACAACTTGCTGTTGAATGTTGACTGGATAAACAATGAAATGAAGACAGAAATAAAGATGTTCTTCGAAACCAACGAGAATGAAGACACAACATACCAGAATCTCTGTGACACATTTAAAGCAGTCTCTAGGGGAAAATATATAGAAATAAGTGCCCACATGAGAAGCAAGGAGAGATCAAAAATTGACACCCTATCATCAAAACTGAAAGAGCTAGAGGAGCAAGATCAAAAAACCTCAAAGTCTAGCAGAAGACAAGAAATAGCTAAGATCAGAGCAGAACTGAAGGAGATAGAGACACAAAAAACCCTTCAAAAAATCAATAA